AACCCTGGACTACAGCACCTAATTGTCCTGCTAGCTCATCGAGTTTCTTATGGAGTTCGGGATCGCTGCTGCCTGACATACTGGACTTACTAGTCGACTCACTTGACTCTCCTAAACGATAAGGTAGACCGGTACGGGTGGGCATGCACTAACAAGTAAATACGATAAAATGTGTGTACTAATAACTAAAGAGATGACTTTTTTTTTTATAAAGACTCAACTAATAAAAATTTCCTAACCTAGAACCATGTGCTCTGATACCAAAAATGATGTGAAACAATGTTATGCAGGTATGAAGATTCGTGACAACAGTGCTTCACTAAGTCAGCGATCGATCTAAGCAGGAAATTCAAGAGTAAAATGAAGCGAACAATGGTTTTTAAGCAAAAATTGCAATGTATTAAGTTTGAACCTTTGTAAAATTATTCCGATATATAATGTAATGATTCGTTCTCTTAATACAGTTCAATTTGTAATATTTAGATAAGCAAAATACTTAGCAACAGATACACTTGCTCACTAGTCAAACTGAATACAGCATAATCACAATTGATACTAAGATTGATAATAATATGCTTGCAATAGCGGTTCCAAAGATATTAGGTCGATAGAAAGCAAAACCTTCACCAAATTGAACTGGTTTGACGGGAGGCTCCTCTGGAGGTGGTTCGTACACGCCGAAGATGAGGGGAGGAAGTTCTCCTCCGAGAGCCGCATAATTGGGATGAAGTGACGCGTCTGGATTAAAACGCCTATGAAACGAACTGGATTGAAACGCCTATGAAACGAACTAATGCCTAACTAAGCTTCCACACTACTGACAATCTGATGAGTCACACGTTCGAGGTATTCGGGCACAGTCTCGAACGTCTGATAGTCGAACCACGAGGAAAGCTGTAAATCAACTATGTCAGTCTCTGGATCAAGCACGAGCTCGTAGTCTTCAGCGTCGGGATAAGCCATGCACCAACGGATCACAGACTCAAATTCAGGACAACGACGAGGATAAAGAGGTCTGACGACGACAGGGCCGTGGCAAGAGAAGGTCGAAGGGGCTGCTCGAGATGGTGAAGGGGGGTGCAGATGTCGTCAGCTAGATGCTTGAGTGTGGAATACAACTCACTGTTGACCGGAGTCGGACGACGACTTGTGAGGAAGAGGAGGCGTTGCGGGTGTCGGATGAGGCAAGCGGCGATGTCGGGATGAAGCCGGCGCTGGTGGAGGCGAGCGGGCGGGCTCACGGAAGGCAGAAAGCGGAGGTGGGGAGTTAGGGCGGTGTTGGTTCGAAGCAGAGGGTGGCGCGTCGCAGGAGGCGGCACACGGGAGGCGGAGACGGAGGTTGGGGCGGTGCGGGGTTTGAAGGCCAGCGGGTTTGAAGAGGAGCAGGGATGTATTTGATGGGTTTTGTGACGTGAGATGAATGAGAGGGATGAACAGTAGTTGAAGTTCTCTTTTTTAATGTGAGGAGAGAGAATAACTGCGGCTGGGGAATGAAATGAACAGAGAAAAATATAATTTGTTTTGTCAGGGATTAGGTTTCACACCCGAACCCAAGCTTCACGCCACAGAGTTCAACCAAACAATTTTTTTTATTCATCAATGATTCACATCTGATTACAAGAGTTCTTAAATAAAGAAAATTACAGGATTGGAAAATTCTCCAAATCCCTCAAATCTCTCTCATAATCAAATACAATCAATTAACTAATTAGCTACCAAATAAATTCAAAATTCAAAATTTAAAATTTAAAATTTAAATCTAACAAAATAGAAAGTCTGCTCAATCCACTCTAGCTGCCGAATCTATCATCAATCAAATCAAAACCAGTTATTAGGAATCCAGTACAAAGCTGAAACACGGCGTCCCCTGCGTTGATAAACACGGTGAAAGTCTCGTGCACGTATCTGGATGTTCTCATCATAATATATCCCAATAACCTCACAAACCCCCTTGAGGTTTAAATGCTAGAACTATAGGGAAAATGCAACCCGAACTGATGAGGACAAGAATGACAGCTTCCAAATTTGTTATTTGATTTTTTTTAAAATTTTTAGTTTTAGTAGTTTGAATTCGAAATTTGAATTGTAGTCTAAATTTAGTAATTATTCAGTTTTGGTATCTAATTGATTTGGAGAGATTTGAGTGATTTTAGAAGATTTCCAAACTGTATTTTCTTTTCTTTATAAGGGAGTGTTGTAATCAGATTGAATGATGGAATGAAAATGAAATGAAATTTGTGTTGGCCAAACTTGGTGTGAAACCATGGGTGTGAAACCCTAAACCTACTCTTGTTTCTTCTTTTTCTCCTCAACCGTCCGATCTTCCCCATTGCCAAATCCAGCCGTCACCTCTTCTTCGTTCTCTGCTCCACGTAAATTCCCAACCCACGTCTTCGTCTTCATCCCTCAACAATAGCAACCCAAATCAGCTCAGCTTCGTCCCTCCCACAAACCCCCCGCCACCTCAGCTCCGTCTCTGAACCCTCACCGCCACCTCACCTGACACCTCAACAGCTACCGTCTCCTGCTCCTCTCCGCCTCCACAAGCCATGAGATCCATCCATTCCCCAGCTTTTCCCCACCTCCAAACAACCGCCAACAAAACCCCACCACCAGTTCTTCTCCCTCCTCAACAGATCCGTTCAACACCCTCCTGCTCTCCTCCCAATTGAGCAGCCCCACAAACCCAATTCCTTCCCCTGTCATCTTCCCCGACGAACAGTACTCCCACAGAGACAGCTCTGTCTCCTTTCATCATTGTCGCCGAGTTGGATCTGACCTTAGTTCGACCGCCACCGCCTTTCGTCCTCCTCAAGCGTCGCCCGCCCTCTCGTCTCCTCAAGTCGAAGTTCACACCTGATACCAAATCATGCAGAAGGGAAAACACAGAAGGGATCAAAGTAGATTTGTGATGTGTGGATTTGTTGGGCTAATAGGCCTTGGATTTCTCTCAATATTTTGAATAGTAAACTCTCAACTCAGTAATTTCTGTTAATCTCATAATTATCAGTTAATTGCATGCGTATTACATCTCTAAACTATTATCATATATTCACTGCTTAATTTATTTTGTGAGTTGAGAGAACTGAACATGTGACTGATTAATTTTGATATTGAATATAGAACTTGCAAAATGATGATTAATATTGCGATTAAAATATTTGAGATTGGAACTGTTCATGAGTATTGTTGCAAATTCTTATTAAAATCCATCTGTCACATTAACTGCTTTAATTAATTTCCTACCGAATAAAATGATTTTTGGCGAAACGGTGCTTTGTTCAGATTAGATCGTGATTCTGATAGACCCCCCGCTCCGTTTCGCATCACGAATAGTGAAGGAAAAGGAAACCTAACAAAACATAACTATAACTTAGAAGAAATGGAAGTAGATGTCTCAATTTTCTTCTTTAATTTTCCCACCAAACAGTAGATAATCATTTGTTTTTTCAATGCAAATGTAAAGTCCAAAAAGACTAAAACCTATGATGCACGGATTCTGGTGCGGACACGGACACAATTTATTTTGTGAGTTGAGAGAACTGAACATGTGACTGATTAATTTTGATATTGAATATAGAACTTGCGAAATGATAATTAATATTGCGATTAAAATTGTTTGAGATTGGAATTATTCATAATTGTTGATGCAAAATCTTATTAAAATCCATCTGTCGCATTAACTGCTTTAATTAATTTCCTACCGAATAAAATGATTTTTGGCGAAACGGTGCTTTGTTCAGATTAGATCGTGATTCTGATAGACCCCCCGCTCCGTTTCGCATCACGAATAGTGAAGGAAAAGGAAACCTAACAAAACATAACTATAACTTAGAAGAAATGGAAGTAGATGTCTCAATTTTCTTCTTTAATTTTCCCACCAAACAGTAGATAATCATTTGTTTTTTCAATGCAAATGTAAAGTCCAAAAAGACTAAAACCTATGATGCACGGATTCTGGTGCGGACACGGACACAGGTCGGATACCGGACATGACAAAATTGTAAAAGTGTTAGGATAAGGGGACACGGCTATATAAATACATATTAAAATTAATAATATATACGAGTTTAATATTGTTTTCCATTCACATGTTATAAGAACTAAAATCCTTGTACCATTTTTCTGTTTCTGTTATTGAGTAGATTATAAATTGAAAAACCACTCGCTTTTGAACTAGATACAAATGACCCTTTAAATCAAACTGAAGAACTACATATGTGCTTAAAAGAACCTGTCTCGAGTCCAACGAGTTACATAAATTTGAGGTGAAGTGTAATATATACGTTCAAGAAGTGTATCATGAGTTTTTTAAACTAAAACATGTGTTATGTATTTGAGTACACGTTTAAATAAATGTATGTATATATTCAACAAGTGTCCAAGGAGTGTCCAACGCACACAGATACAGGAAATGTCGGACACAGATACGGAGCCTAGATGAAGTGCCCGGGTAACCAAAGACCTAGAGTCTAGAAACATGATTCTAGTCTGTTTAACATGATTTATTATGTACAAGGTAGCGCATTAAAACACTTTACTTGAATACTATAAGATGTGTGTGCATTGCCTAGAGATCCTTAGGAATAAGCACCACGTCATGATGTCCAATTCATAGCCAACATGTTATCATATTATATATGGCATTCCAAAAAAGGTATTCTGAAGACTCTATGATATTAATTGCTGGAAATATGTATAAGTAATGTAAAATTGTAATGATAACTCTCTCACTATAATTGTTTTAAACAATGGTTTCTACAATATAAACCTACTTTTCCTATTAAAAAAGTTGCTAGTATTATACAACAGATATCCGTTTTTTTAGTTATCCAGTATTACCGAACTTCACCCATTAGTACCAGTAACAGTATGTCTAAGTATAGTGGTAAAGAAATAGTTATGGTCATATATTTGCACAGGCATCCAGAGCACAACTTTCTTCACATATTCACCAGTATCAGATAAGTTATATGAATGAAAGTAAAGGTGAAGTGTACTTGAATCATGTGGTCGCTCAATTTGTGGGGGAAGACCAGCTTCAAGAATATCTTGAACAAGAAATTCACCACCACCTGTTTCCTTTCCATGGAGCGCCAGTACAATGCCTACAGTGAAGAATATAATGTCTCTTATAAATTATGTGAGTTTCATTTTGCAAAATATTTGACAATTCAGCAAAATAAATGTATGCTGACATGATGCAAGTATTCTGGTATTACTGAGTTGCACAATTTCGAACCTGTTACAAAAGTTGAAGGGCTGACCAGCTCTCCAGTCAGTTTAACTCTTCCGCTATCATCTTCTAAGACAAGATAATCATCAGGATGCATGAAATTATGAGGTCTGACAAGCGGAACCACAGATCTCTGGAGGGGGAAAAACAGTGTTCAAAGTACATGAATGAGTCCTTTTGGACCATAAATTTGACATTAGATACAAAAAACCAGTATCGATGTGTGAAACCTCCTTAGAATATTCATCAAGAACACAAGGCTTGAGCTTCATATGCTTGTAGATAGTTCCAATGATTATGCATTCTTTGCCTGCTTCAAGCTCCAAAACTGTATTCACTGCACAAGTTCAAAAGGAAGTTGATACGGAAGTCAGAGAAGACTGATGCGAGCAGAACATGATAACCGTTGCTAGAATAGTGTGCTTCAGTCTCAGCAACCATAGAAACATTAGAGTTGTTTTTCTTCCTAGCATGTAGTATGGGAAGCTATCATGTGAAATGTTGTCAGAGTTCAATTCAACAATGCTGAAGATCATAGGACTCAGCATCCATTTGGAGTCATCGTTATATGAGGGCTTCTATAAGTGACATGCTATCTCTTAATGGAACTTCATTCAGGCCATTATGACCTGTCCCTACTTCATTACAACCTTTGCCAACATTTTAAGTTAAATAGCCTCTTCAGATTTCCCATCACAGTTCAAGAGCAAGAAAAGGTTGGGAAATGAAAAGGGAACACACAGGAAAAAGGAAAGTAATAAGAACAACAAAATGTAGAATCTTTAGATTTTATGTTAAACACAGCTTAAACTAGAGTATTTCACTAAGATATCATACTTATGTTCATTGTCATACAATGGAGCTTTCTTTGTGAATCCCACTGTTTTCAAGTTTCTTGCTTTAATTAAGCGCCCTATCACTACTTTGAGTAAGGAATTAAAGATTCTAACAAATCCAAAATTCTGCATTAGTAGCCACAATCAGTGTCAACAACAACCAAAACCCTAGATTTTCTCAACAGAGGAAACTAGAATCACAAGAAGCATAAAGTAGACAACCAAAACCCTATATCTTCCTAGAGGAGGTGTTAGAATATAAAAAAAAATTACAACCCTCAACCTTCACCATAACTTCAGAGTTTTGGTGTAGTGGCGGGAATTTTAAGATGGTAGCAGAGCAACCAGGTTAGAATCCTACTGGCCACAACTTTGTAAAGCGGATTTTACAATTTTAAAAAAACAACGGATACATGGGTCTAGCTTTCAGCACATAAAAGGAACCTCAACCTAAGGGGGGGTGATAGCGTATAAGATTACAACCCTCAACCATCACCATAACTTCAGAGTAGAGAACCAAAACCCTAAAAGTTAAGAGGGAACCCAAATCTTCTACAAATCCAGATTTGGCTGCACATTTAGTCAATGTGGTACTAAAGATAACACACAAGACGCGCAGCATTACCAAAACCCTAGATTTGCTCAAGGGAGGAAATGACAATCGCGACAAGCATAACACAACTCATACCAATCGAGGGAGAAATCAACACAAATCGAAACTAGAAACCGAAACCACAGAAACCCTAATCGGCCGCTAAGGAAGTACCTGGAACATGAGGTTTCCATTTGGGGGTGACCGAGCTGAGGAGATTCCTCATGTGATGAAGGCGAGTGAAGTAGATTTGGCTGTACTGCTGCCCCTTGTACCTTTCTCCATGGATCTCGTACCTCTCATCCTGGAACAATTCAACAAAGACGAGATTTTTAGTCGCAAAAGAACTCGAAAGAGCAAGGACTAGGGTTTTGATGAGATCGATAATAGAGAGAGAGAGAGAGGGAGAGAGAGAGAGAGAATTACTAAGGATCGATAGGTCGCTTGCTTCCTCTCGAGGAGATTGGGGTCGCCTTCTCTCATCTCTGTGTCTTCCCCCATGGCGGGAAAATGAGTATTTGGGGATTTTCTTTTGGAATTTGGAGGTCTCTTTTGGGTCGGGGCTTGGAAGTGGTTTTATATGAATGTCAAACAGGTTGTTGTTTGCAAGGATGTAATTATGAGGGGTTTTGTGCAAAATATTAAACAGTTTGTGTTAAACATCCGAAATACATTTGATTTCGTTGCAAAATTAAACGAGAATAAAAAAGATTAACAAGCCTAGGAAAGATATCAGCATACAAAATACAAACTCAGTATGATGTCACAATCGATGTAGATGATGAATATACTATTCTAGAATTACCTTGGAAAGAGATAAATGTGAAGAATGATTGATTTTAGCTCAATAAAAAATAAAACTGAAGGAAAAAATACAATATTTTTTTGGATATTTTACAGAATAGTTTAATTATTTTGAATGAAATTAAGAAACTTTAGAAGAGAGTTTCATGAATTTTTTTTAGTATTTTTATATGCTCATGTTGATGCTTTTATCATATAAAAGCATACTATAGTTAGCATTAATCTTTAATTTATATTTTTTATGAAGTCTATCAATGATTAGGAACAAACTTAGTATTCTTTTTTGTATCGTTTTAGCATAGTTTTAATCAATCATTTTTCCTTTTTGATTTTAAATATTCACCGAACACAATTTTAATATTTTTACTTTTGCAACACTGTACTTTCTCAAATAAAGTTTGATTTTATGTCGGTCAAAATAATATAAAAATTCAAATTAACTTTAAATTATATTTTTGTGTTAATTCATCAACATGAAAATTTTAATTTGGTGTAACACATTTAAACAAACATAAAAAATCGTGATATAAAAGTTTAGAGACAAAAGTGAGCACAAACCATTAAAGTGAAACCGAGGAAAATATTTTAGTTAAAAAATAAGTTAAAAATATTTAATCATAGTATTTAACCATGTGCAATGGACATGTATAAAATCTAATTATTGAAAACTTGTGTGAATTTTTATGTAAGTAATGAATGTTAGCAATGGAACTCGAAATCAATAAAAAACGAAGCTACAAATTTTTTTTAACTAAAATCATATATACATAAGAAAGTAAAAAATTAGCATCCTTGATACCAAGAATGAAAATTATTCTAATAGTAAAATGGTCGTTTCTCATTCGGATATTTAAAAATAATCACTTGAAGATAGTCCTCCTTTGATTAGTCACTTGTTAGATGAGTGAAGGTCACTTCACTAATTTGGTATTTGGTGACAGAGAATATTCATGTTCCTCTTTAAAAAATGATGTCTATATTACGTAGAAAATAGCCGGATTAGTCATGTATGTTATTATATTAAAAATTTAACGAGGATACCATAAAATTCGAAGTATATTTGCATTTCAATAGAAGTATGAGGAGTATATAAACAAATTATGGGTTG